GTAATGAGAAATAATGAGAAAGGAAGAACTCCCCACAACTCTCTGTCACCTCCTAGGCCTGTGTAGGACCACTTTTCATAGACAGGCTTCAAGTAAATGTGCCTACACCAGAAGTAGAAATTCAGGGCACTGTCAGAGCTCTGGAGGAGACCGTTGGAGCTTGATGACACACCTCAAACCCAGCCGCACATAGGATTGCTGGTCCTGCTGAGAATCTAGAGGCCTCCGTCTAAACCTGCTCACTATCAGGATATTCATACTTACAAAAAGAAACTAATGGTGGTGACCATCCCTACAATGGGAGCTGATGCCCTGCTGCAAAGACAATCCAGCCTTCATCATAAAGAACTTACAAATTACACTAAGCAAACATTTTAATAGCTATTAAGAGTCTTAATCAGACCTGTTACACAAACAATTAAGAGATGTCATAAAATACACCCATTTAGGCATAGTGGCTACATTTTTGGATTTGTAAAAGGAACCATTTACTTTCTATATAATTTTTTATTAGTGCATGTTTGCAATTCATGCAGTTTACAACCATCTTGGCGAGTAGTTACATGTACATATTACAATTTGTTTGTTTTTTTAATCTCCTTACCTTACCTTCCCCCGCCTTCTCCAGTTCTCTTTACTTTTGCGATAGAAAAAAAGCTCTCAATGGAGCCTAAAGGTTATGAAACAAAAAGGTACTACTCTGAGAAATTCCATTTTCTGAGATCAAATTCCACTAATCAAGCTCTGTTCCCAATGCTCTGCTGGTAGTCTAAGATTTATTTTTAGTCATATTACTGTTTAATCAGAAAATTTTTCATGTTTCTTCAAAAAACAATTTCTTATAAGTAGTGCTTCTTTTTAAAGAAAATTATTTTTGTTTCTTTAAACACAACTTCTTATAAATACTGCTTCTTTTAAAGGGCCATGAAAATGTTGACATAATCTAATAATGAAAATTAAGAAGAAATTGTGGATTTATAAGAAATTTGCTTTGCAGACAACATTTTAGGTTGAGATTCATCCCTACATTGCTTAAGGCTACAATTTCAAGTATGGTCCAAGGGCATCGTCATCACAGGCAAATTTGTCACCAATGCAGGGTCCCACTCCATAGTCTCACTCCAAACCATCAAAGTCTGAATCTGCATTTTAAAAGATCCCCAGATGATTTTATGTATAGTAATAATTTTAAAGAAAATATCAGTGTGCAAACTTCCTACTACCTGAAATGCTATCAGGAAAACTAATGGCTTTAATCTCACTGAAAAGTAAAAAAGAATTTATGCAGTCCAAGAAGGTACATAAATCATGTAAAATTGGCCACATGCATAAGTATATCTGAAGTGGTCCCTCCAGCATCCATATCTTGTGGTCATGTCCAGAATGCCTGACACTGCCCACCATCCTGGTCATGCTCAGTGGCTATCTTGTAGTCATTCCTCCCTCTTCAGGTGCTGTGTCCTCTTCACTTCCTGAGTGTAGCACCCATTGTACAGAATACTAACACTAAGATAAAGAGCTTACATAGAGTAAGAAAGAAGGAATCTTCTTAGTCTTAGGCCCTATCATGTTCTTTCAGAGTTCAAAGATACCTAGCCTATACATGTACCATATATGACTATGCTTCATGTATGTATTAAGAGAATCAAATGTATCTTTTCATTTGAAAAAAAACAGGAAAAATTAAAAGAAATTTTACTGTTCACTCCATGCAATATATTTCTAGATTACTTTGGGAAGTAGATTTTTACAGTAGTTATGAACATCCCATAAAGTACATGACATGATGTGATTTTCAAAATATGACTTCCTATGTTCATATAGCCAGCTATTTTAAGAGTACCTAAAAGCACATCCATAAGCATATGCTATTAAAAATGGGATTTTGCAGTAAACAAAGAGTATTAAGTAAAGCATGAGATGACTTCTATAGCTTAAAACCTGTGGGCGGAATTATAATGATGTTGTTTATAACTATTCTGAAAAAATACCCATCAACTCTAAGAAAGTTATTACAAGCCTAATCAATGCTCCAGTTGTTCTTCCTGAGGAATACATTCTTTAAATAATGTAAATGGGCTTCATAGAAAATGTTCTTGTTTGTATTTAGTACTCTTTGCTTTATCCTACATTGTAGTAACATAAACACTTCAAAGTAGGAAATGAAGGATTTTGATTTCTGCCTTTGTTTGGGGGTGAGTTTTATTTTATTATTATTGCACGAAAGTAAAGTGTTAATAATTTTCATCTAGCAGCATGGACTTTAAAAAAGTAATTGTATTAGGGCTGAAGATAATTTTATCCAAATTTTCATAAAGTATGTTTTTGGCTCGTGGAACGGTTGAAAGAAAGGTGACTGTAGTTACAGTAAAACAGCGTCTCCCTTACCATTGTTTGTATCAAACTCACACTAGAGTTTATGACCCTGGGTCCTGGCTCTACCACTTTCTAATCATGTATCCTGGACCAGCCATTGCAGTTCTCTAAAGTCTTATTTTCCCTCATCTGCAACATAAAGCTAAAAATTAAGCCTGCATGTTAGGTTTATTTTGAGAAGTAAATGAGAAAATACATTTTAAAATATTTAACAGAGTGCCTGGACTGTAGTAAGAGCTTATGTCATATTAGACATTACATTGTTTTTTTAATCACACTATAGTTCAGCCAAGTTTGAAAAACATCTAATACACAAAAGTCATTCTATCCAATTCTGAAATGTAAAATGACATTACCTTAAAATAGCTGCTTTTATCCTTTAAAATGTAAAATACAAAAGGCTGTAACCTGAATCCCTAGATCTTTCCTTTCTCTTACAGGAGCCAAACTTCTTATAAAAAGAGTCTTATCGCCATTTCTTCAGTTTCTCACCCCTAATCCATTCCTCAACCCTCCAAGGAAACAAAGCAAAAACAAACAGCTTCTTCACTGTAGCAACCCTCTCCCATACAAACAAGAGTGTTTTTCTGATACCAAATCTCATGATCATTTTTCAGCTGTAATGTTCCTGACCTTTCTGCATCAATTGAATTAATACTCTGGAATCTCTTCTGCTTAGTGTCCTTATGATCTCCTTCCTCTAAAATGCAGATATTCTCTCCATCTCCTCACCCCTTTCTCTCTCCACATCCAACATTCCCCATTCTGGAAACCTTTGGTATGATTTCAGTAAATTCAACCAACTTAGTATCAACTGGTACAAGGTAGTATGATAAATATTAAAAGTCTATTTAATCAAGGACCTAAATGGCTTTAAAAGATCTCAATATAGAATCTACTTATTTTCCTACTTTCAGGTATTTTCTTTATTTTTATTCCAGTTTGATAAACCTTTTCACTATTGGCTAACATTGCCAGACACCTTCAAATATTAGTCTACCTTTTGTACCCATAGGTTCCAACTAACCATAGATTGAAAATATTTGGGAAAAAACTGCACCTTGTAGTGAACATGTACAGACTTTTCTTGTCATTATTATCTAAACACAACACCGAATAGCAATTATTTACATTTTACTGCCCATTTTATATAAGGATCTGCGCATCTACAGATCTTGATATCTGTGGAGGAGTCCTGGAACCAAATCCCTGGATACTGGAGAGCTGAAGTAGGAAAAATAAGAGGTAGATGAGTTCTGCTTTGCTTAAATTTACTTGGATAATTGGTTCTTTGGATAGGATTTGTAACATAGATTTGGGAGAATGTTGAATTCCATCCTATAAGTTTTGAATGTTGAATGATATTGGGCTATCTAGTTGAAGATGGCCAACTGGTAATTGTACATGTGTTTCTGAAGTCTACATATGGTGTCAAATTGACCAACATCTTTGGAAATAACCTGGAAATGCTTATCTAAATCTACATTCTTCAAGCTCTATCCTAGATCCCTACCCAAATCACAAAATCCCAATTACATTTTTATGGGAAAGATCCAAGTTTCTCTAATTCAATCTTTCTTAATACTATATTTTTTATTTCTATTTAGGTCATATGGTGACTCAAATTTAAAATTTCTTCTTAATCATCAATCAACATGTTAGTGTTGAGAGAAAAATAAGGGAAAAACCCTGTGCTAGTTACTGGGGATAATATAATGACTAACATATACATGGTCCTTCCTTCTGTAAGTTTCAGTCTAACTGGGGACTGAGTTGTCAGTCATCTGTAGTGAACACATACAGATTTTTCTAGTCATTACTCTTAATCATGCAGTGATCACAAGTCAAAGATGTCTAAGTAAAAGAAAAGCTAAACTGTTCTGGGCTCCTGGAGAGCTCCCTAAAAAAGTAACTTTTACCACATTTACTGCAAGAAGGTAGAGTGATTGGTGGTTAGTCATATGTATAAGGCAAGGCCTCCTAGGCAATGAGATCTTATTAAAAGATTTCTTTCTACAGCAAAGAAAGAATTTGGCAAATTGAGGAAAAAAGGAAAAACCTGGGTGACAGACACATAGTGAACAAAAACAAGAGCAGATAAGAATGAAGATGTGGGGGCAGGGGTTAAATGAAGGTTGACTTATGTGGATGAATACCAGACCAGCCTGAGTTTGACCACCGACAGGTTTGAGAACTACTGGAAGTCCAGGCAACACATCTCACTATAGGGAAAATGAGAGAAATGAAATGAGAGACCTGAAATGGTTTTCTTATGTTTGCCAGACTTACTCTTTAAAAATTCAGCCTATTTGATCTAATTTTAACACCTGCACCTCCGATGTACTATAAACTTTACCTATTTAACGTACACAGTTTAATATGTTTAGAAATTCATGTTCATCTGTGACACATCATCACATCAAGTTGATAATGATAGTCATCGTGTCTGGAAGTTCTCCTTTGCAGTCTCTCATTCCCCACCACCCCCACCAAGCCTCAGCCAGCCATGCCTAAAACAGGGGCTGGTACATGAAAAAAAATGTTTTGTGAAGAAATAACAAGTGAATCTATTTGGAGCCTTAGTTCTTTGTTTGATGTTCCATTGGTTGCTCTGTCTTTTCCAGGTATGCAGTGCTATTCAGAATCAGGATTTCACTGTGATTGAAGACTACTGCACTGGCCTCAAAGCCCTGCTTTATCTGAAGAGCATTGAAGAGCTACAAGACTGGGATGGGCAGAGTCCAGCCACTGTTAGTCACCAGAAAGGGAAGCCGGTTCCACCTATTGCTGAACTCACTGGAAAGGTATGTGCTCACCTCTCTGGTGTTATTCTTGAGAACTCTGCTTCAGTGTGTTTCTATTTCAGATCTTGTTTACCTTCCCACAATCTCACTCACAGAGGAAACACAGTGCCTGGTGGATGTGATTTTTGCAATAGACTCATTCTGAAGCAGGCTTGATTACAGCTCTATGATGGGTCTGTGAGTTACCTTTTTATAAAGCCAATATAATACAAGGTCATATAAAAGAACAAGATTGAAGTTTGTGTGTAAAGTGCTTCCAAATTCTTGCTTACTGTGGTGTTGACTGGCATTCTTTCCAGTGGGAGACTGGAGATTTCTTTATTTTTTAACAAGCTCTGGAAATTATAACATTACCTTTCTATTTTCAAGACAATCAAATCACTGGAGTCCTGAATAACATGATGAAGTTTTTTAAAATTAAAATCTAATCAGTATCTTTTGTAACTGCTTCTGCTGTGTGGTTAAACCTGGGCTCAAAAGGTTATGTCCCAACTTTCTCACTAACTGCTATTTTCTGAGAAATATACACTACATTTACATTTTGTATAATACAGTGATTTTAGCAACTCTTTTCTAAAACAACATTAAGCATTTCGCCTTTGTATTTCCTTTGAATCATTCTAAATAGACAACCATTGTCAGAAGACATTTCTTGAGTCCCGAATGAGAGGAGGAAATAATTATAATTCTTAGTCTTTTCAGCTTGTCACTACATCAATAATTAACTTTAAAAAAAAGAGAGGCAGTATAAAAAGATTCTTTAAGGAAGCATTTAATAATTCAAATGAATCTTAACTTGAAACAGGTCACATGAAAAAGAATGGAAAACAAAAACCCCGGGTACTCTGCTTTGGATGGCTGGGTGAGGGACTCAGGGAGAATAAGAGAAGCATCATATAACTGGTTATTTCTAGTGAGAAATATAACTGTCCCTCTCCTAACACATAGACAAAAATAAAACCATCTTGAAGAATAATGTGTATGACTGTGATACCAATAATGAAAAAGAAAAGAGGCAAGGAAATAAAATCTTACAATATGGGTTCCAGGAAAATATCATGATGAATGACTCCATGAGTGGCAATCAAACAGAAAGGCTGTGACATTAATATTTATAATATTGTAATTAGCAAGACAGTGCCTAAGCAGCACTGTTAGTGTAACTAATCATATTATCATAAACTGAGTCTGCAGTATTTAGCCAGTGAAGGTTCTTGCTTTTATCAATGACTGTCAATAACCTAGATTTGTTTACAACTGAAAAAATTTCACAAATGACATTAACTCATTCAATGTAAACATCCCAAGGAAATTATTTCAGCCATGATGTATATGATCACCTATAAAAGCATTGTCTCAAATGTGGGTGATTACCATGTGTGCTGAAATATAAGTAGCAGCATTGCACTGTAATATTTTTGTTCTTAAAAGACTTTCACGTCCATTTCAAAAGTTACATATTCAAATAAAAGATGGATAATGATAAGGACACTCGTGTGGATGACACAAATGGAAATAGATTTTCTAACTAGATTCAGACTTTATTTTAGTAAGGCCAGTCTTCATCAAAATCATAAGTGTATTTTTTTTCATAAGTGCATTTTTCAACTTTATCAATGTTAAAAAAGATTTTTGCTATGTGCTTATATTGGTGATTCATTTCTCAGCACTAAGTTGAGGAACAAGCAGATGGTCTGGTAATAGATTTGTGCTCCTGAATTCTCTAGTGCAGGCTGACATGATTACAACAATAGTGAATATCCCCTTTAGGTTAATATTCCTAGTACTGAATCAAAGTGCTCTGGATGCAGGGTACAGGTGGCTTCCTAATTGTTCCTTCCTAGTGTTGCGTGTGTGTGTGTGTGTGTGTGTGTGTCTTTGAAAGCAACTCATATTATGCTTTTGTTAGCTCAAGAGTAGGCTGCTGATCCTTATGTCAAATGAGAGCTATAGACCCTTTATAGGAAGACTCACTAGGAGTAGCTGGCTTCCTTAGTCAGGAAAATTTTGTTTGGAATGTACAATTGTTATATCATTTAATCTTTCATTCATAGGTCAGGCTAGAATAAATTTGAGTACTTAGGAAAACCAATTAGAATGCAGTGTTTAATGATGGACAAAAAACAAGACTCTGACTGTAGAAAGAACTGTGATTCGTTAGCCATGTTATTGCTCAAGTGATTGGTATATTTGATATAATCTGCTTATGCTCACCTCACTTCTGATTAAACTCCTCAAGCAATGTTCTTTCAGGTAATTTTTGAAGGGCAGGAAGTGGTGTGTTTATAATTTCATGGTGCAAGTTGTTTAAATCAGTACCTAGAAGAGGAGAGCAAATCCCTGGAAAGAGTGGTCATCAGTTTTGCCACAACATACAATTGTCCGTATCTAAATATTGGTGCTTAAAAACCATGAGTTATTCTTGTGAGAAATATAGATTCCCAGGCCCCATGCATCCATCCTGATTCAGCTGATGGGAAGTGAGTCCAGGAATCTGAATTTTCACATCATGAATTTGATGGAAGGGTCTTTGTTGCCAAAAGGAATGGAGCAGGTAACAGTAATAGCCAACCCACAGGTTGAGAAGTTAGTGTTGAGCAGGGTGTGGAGAAATCTAGCAGTAATGATTTTGAGCCAGAAAAAAAATAAAATACAAAGAGAGGCAAGAAAGGAAATCCGGAGGTTTAACAATAATTTCTAAATGGCCAGAGGTTAGGGATACCTAATGAGGAACCTGTATATAGGACAACAATTACTAGCAGGGTTAACAGAAAAACTACTAGGTTTGTGTGATGTTTCATTACTTAATATCCAGGCAACTTGGACAAGTTACTTAATCTCTCTAAACCTGTCGCTAAAACGTTAAAATGAAAACAACCACAATTCAGGTCTCCAGTCCCTCATTACCACTTCTGAAACCTAAAAAGATGATGAAATCAAATTTTTTCACATGACTCATTTGAAGAAACCTAGGCCTGAACTAATGTGAAGCTATAAATAATCTTTTCTTATTCTTCTTAGAGGAACTTTTAAATGTTTACTGCAGAGAGACTAATGTATTTGATTCCAGGTTGCTGTCCAATATCTTTCTGGGGCTAGAGGTGGGAGTGTTTGGGTCAACTTGGGATATGTGGACCATTTTAATTTTCTTAACCCTCTGTACAAATCTGAATCAATGCATGTGGCTCCAGGGATTTTAAATAAAAACTTGTAAAAAATACCTAAGTGGAACTATAACTGCAAACATACGTTTATGCAGAAATTCTTAGTGTTGGAAGCAAAGTGTATATTTTAATGACAGAAAATAAAATATTACTCAAGGGTATTTTGAGAAGTGGGAAATAAGAACTATGTTGAGATGATTTACTTAGGAATATGAAAGAAAGAAAGCATTTCAGTATTTGAACAGAAAAGCATAGAAGAAAATGTCTTCACTATTCTATCCTGCGGATGACAGCAGGACTCCTACAGAGGACTCCTTGGAGCCTTGGTAGGGAAGCAGCAGAAGCCAACATCTTCTGATGGCTTGAGGTCCGCATACATTCTCACATGCTGTTGCCTGCATCTATCACAGCTTTCCAATTCTCCAAGGGAAAATTCTTAAGCGTCGCCTTCTCGTCACGTTAACCCCTGACCTCTAACAATTAATTTCTCCTTCTCTTCCTGAAACTCAGGTGCAGCAGGTATCACACAGCAGTTGAGTTTGTTTATGTCTGTTTCTTCTGCTAGAGAATAAATCATATTATACATCTTACAAATGAATAAATGTCTTATTCATCTTTGTATTCCAATAAGAGCTTAATAAATGTTGTTTGAATAACCACTAAATGAATAAATTAATGTTATAAGAACCTGGAGTGGTAGTAACATTAGAATTAATAGTTACTTGATTCTTCAAGCTAATACTTTTTCTAGCACATTAGAAATGAAAAGAATATAAAAAATAACCTTATAACTTAAAATCCCATTTTGTATATGAGTCTAGTTTAATAAAATGAGAGGGAAAGAAGCCACAATAAAAAGAGCAAGGAAGGCAGGTAGGCAACCTTCACACATTTTTGACTCGGCAAAATGTGTTAAGACTGTGAACCTCTTAAGGGCTCAGACCACATCTTGTGTGCCAGTGAGTAACAGTGTCTGCCAGGTAGGAGCAGTGGCACAGAAGCCAAATTGCTGAATGAATGTAATGATCAATCACTAATTTATTTTTAAATCTACCTTAAATTTCAAGTCTTTTACTGACCCATCTATGATTCCCTTCCCTTTCATTTGAGGAAAGTCAAGGCACTTCTTTCTCTGTCATAGATAGTCCTTTGTTCATATAACTAGTATTGCTCATATTATCTTCTAGTTATCTGTCTACTAGTCCACTGCTGCAGATCATTATGAGCACTTTGAGACCAGAGATCATGTCTTATTTATACTTGAGTTTTCAAGCACCCAGCATGATGTTACATGTTTATAAAATTAATTGCACAAAATATTCATGGTGTTCTTATTTAGGAGAAAAAAGAAGAAAGCCAATTTATAATTAAAATTCAAGCTAGGCTCTTTCAAGAATAGCAGTTATTTTAGAAGAAAACAGTAAACGTGCCAAATTACTTTCAGTAGGTATTAAAACATGATGAAATACATATCAGTGATATTAATAAGTGAATATAATTTGTGCTTGTTAAAAACTTCCATTAGGATAAAGTCACAAATGCTGTCATACACATGTATAGCAGCTCTGACAACAAGACTTTGTTTTGATAGTAGAAACTAAAATTGTGTCCATATGACCAGAAGCATCATTTTTAGTTATTTTAAAGCCAAAAGAACACAGTGTCATAAAACTACCATTATGTAGTTGTGCTAATTTTATATGTTGATGTCTGGGTTTTTTTATTCACTTCTGGCAAATTTTCCAACACAGAGAACAATATATTCAAACATAATATGAAGTCCACAACATTACCATTGCAAAAGACCTAATAAGAGCAGTCACATAAGAACACAGT